AATCTAGAGAGGACATAGATTAAAAAAATAGAGGAGCTGAGGAACATGATGGAATCCCAACATAGGAAACAAATGGAATCCATAAAACAGATTCAAGCAGATTTCCAGGAGATTAAAAACTCCACTGAAAGTTTATGCAGCAGAATGAGTCAATGTGAGGACAGATTTTTAGATGTAGAAGATAGGATTGCAATTAGTGACCAGGAAAAGAAAAATTTCTTAAAAGTAGTAAGGGGCCACAAGAAATCAATCCAGCAGCTGCTAGATAATGCAAAGAAGAATAACAGACTGATTGGAGTCAATGAAAAAACAGAAGGGAGTGCAGACAACCTAAAAAAATGTTCACAGAAATAATGGCAGACAACTTCCCAAATAGGGAAAAAGAACCTGACATAGAGATAAGTGAGGCACATAGGACTTCAACTAGCTGTGATAAAAAAAAAATTATACATAGACATATAATAGTTAAGATTCCAGAAACCCAACAGAAGAACAAAATTCTTCAAGCAGTTAGAAAAAAGAAACAAATCACATGTAAAAGAATGCCCATCAGAATCACAGCAAACTTCTCAAAACAAACCTTCAAGGCAAGAAGGGCTTGCAGTGACATATTTCAAGTCCTAGTGGAAAGCAGCCTTCAACCAAGATTGATATACCCTGCAAAACTATCTTTCAAAATTGATGGAGAAATAAGATACTTTCATGACAAGAGCATCTTAGGACCTTCATGAATATCAAACCAGCACTCCAAAAATTTTAAACAATATCCTAGGAAAAGATAACTAGGATCACAACCCAAGGAAGCCCTGCAGAATAAATCCAGTAGGCAGGACAAGAAATTAAACACAAAGGGGGAGAATCCAAAAAGAATAAGAAGTCATGACAAGGATAAGTCAATATGTATAAGTTATAACCATCAATGATAAGGGTCTTAACTCATCAATCAAAAGAAATAGACTGGCAGAATGGGTCAAGAAGCAAGACCCAACAATATGGTGCATGCAAAAAAAACTTATTTCAAAAAGAAGCTCATAGACTGAAAGTTAAAGGGTGAAAAACAATACTCCATGTGACAGGAACCTGAAGAAAAGCAGGAGTTGCTATCCTCTTTGCAGATCAAGTGGATTTCAAAGTGACACTGATTGAGAGAGACAAAGAAGGACATTACATCCTTGTAATGGGAACAATCCAAGAGGAAGAAATGATAATCATTAATATATATGCACCAAACACTAGTACACAAAACTTTATAAAATAAATATTAGTGGACATAAAAATCATATAAGCACTAATACAGTAGTAGTGGGGGACCTCAATACCACACTGTCAAAAATAGATAGATCAACTAGGCAAAACATAAGCAACGAAATTCTATAACTCAAACTCTTGATGAAATGAACTTAACAAATGTTTACAGAGTCTTCCACCCCACAAAATCAGAATACACATTCTTTTCAGCTGCACATGGGTCATTCTCTAAAATAGACCACATACTTGCTCAT